AAAGATTGTTCACTTCCAATCCATTTCCTACTGTTTTCCCAAATGTGACCACCTACCCAAATGCGAAAAGAGAATAAAACCTATTTCTAGAAAACAAAATTACAGTAATTACAGCACTGTCTAGGATTTGTTATTCTCACCTTCAACTTACCTTCTCAAAATACCTCCTAAGAGGGAAGCATTGAGGCATTCTGGTGGTGAAAGGCGCCTCTTCACCTCTGCAATGGTCACTTTGTACTTTGAAGTGGAGCTGAGTAGTGATAAGCGACCGGGAACAGAGCAGAACAGGTCGGTGGGATTAACAACACAGGTGCCACCTACAAAACAAAAGAAATGTTAGAGCAAGAGAAACCTCATATTCTATGTTTTGACAAATTAAATCATGAAGAACAATTCTGTTCTTTACTTGTAATTGTTTTTGTTTGGGGTTTTGGAGTATTTTGGGGGTGGTGGGTTTAGTTTTGTTTTTAAATATTGCCTCACGTTGTTGCTTTGAGAAAGACGAAGGGATTGAAATTCCAGTCTGGGGAAAGTGAACTACTAGATCTTGTTAGATCTCTATACAAAAAAGCTGTGGGCAGGCTGGAGAGGGTCCAGAAAAGGGCCACAAAGATGGACAAAGGACTGGGAAGCCTGCTGTATGAGGAAAGGCTGAGAGAGTTGGGCTTGTTCAGCCTTGAGAAAAGAAGGCTTAGGAGAGACCTTATATCCATGTTCTAGTATTTAAAGGGTGGCTACAAAGAAGATGGACACTCCCTTTTTACAAGGAGTTACATGGAAAAGACAAGGGATAATGGGTACACGTTACTCTTGGGGAGATTCTGATTAGACACAAGAGGAGGATTTTTCACAACAAGAACAATCAGGCAGTGGAATAATCTTCCCAGGGAAGTGGTGGATTCCACAACATTGTAAGAATCAGCTGGACAGGGTGCTGGGCCATCTTATCTAGACTGTACTTTTCCCAAGAAATTTTGGACCAAATGATCCTTGTGGTCCCTTCCAACCCAGTATTCTACGATCTTATAAGATTTACAGTCAAATTAGAACATTATGGTTACTTCAATCGATTTCACGATGAGTAAAAATTACATATTGTCAGTCTTTCGAGTCTTGTATCTACTACGTAGAAACATTGAACCAGATTCCAGTATCACTCTGTATTTAAAAAATATAGTTAGTGAAACACTTAGGACATTAACTCTAATGAGAAATGTTCATTTTAGTACTCATAGCAGTGTTTAGGATAACAAAGATGCAGTGACACTATAGGTTGGCAGTGAATTGCAGCCAGAACGGCTTTCCACACCTTTGAACTCTCATATACTCCTTCTAAAGTTAGGTCAAATCCTTAGCTGATGTTAATGATTGAAATCTATTGAGCTACATCAGTTTATCTCAGGTTAGTTCTGGAATTGATTATTTCTTGAAAGTGGCAATTACTTGGCCAAGGTCTAAAACTGCTGAATGATCATCACCAAATCTTTCAATGAAGACTGTGATCAATAACTCCTCAGGCAAAATCGAGCTTTTAACTTAAAGCTAATATGTGAGAGAGCAAAAGAGAAAACTTTCTCTGCAAATGATCCAAGAGGATAGTATAAACTCCCAGGGAAAAAAAAAATAAATCTTAAGAACTAGCACATATTTTATCACCAAGTGCAAATCACTTTTCTTTGACCTGCCTTCTCCAACCTAACTACAATAAAAAATTCTGTGGAAGAAATAAATCTTACCACTGCATGCACAATTCTTCCCCGAGGGAAAGATGAGAAAAAAGGATGAGCTGCATATGGTAGTGATATACAATATCATATAATTCAATGAACTACTAGAAGGAGTTCAGATGGTTTCCGTGAGGACAATGATATAAAGACCTTCTGTGCTCCTCATTCATGTTTAAAGGAAAGATACTGTATTTTTTAAACTTCCATGATAATTTCTCCTTTCCTGTGAACACCCTAATGTTTATGCACTGCAAGAGTTCGCTTTATTATGCTTAAAATTTTTAGTTTGTAATCTAAATTCTGTAATGAGAATAGAATAGAATAGAATAGAATAGAATAGAATAGAATAGAATAGAATAGAATAGAATAGAAAAAAAGAGAATAGCTCACTTTAGACAGGATGCTAACACATTTATTTTATCTTCTTCCATATGTAATCCCTCTTAAAATTAAGGTGACTGTGTATGTTCCAGTTTTAGCAGAGACAGAGGAATATAACTGAAGGATGAAACTTCATTAAAGGCAGACTATTGCTTGCTTACATAAGGCAAACAGGATTTCTTTCCAAATATTTCAGCTCTTGAAGGTATATTTAAACATTTGTGCTGACAACAAAACCAGAAAAGAACATCTCTTGGTATAAATCCCAGATGGGAGAGATCCTGACTCAGTACAGCAGGACATCTTATGACTTTTCTAATTATGCTACAGGACAGATATTAGTGTCCACTTCTCAGACAGAATATAGAGATAAATCATGCATCACCAAACATATAGACACATCAAGGGCACTTACACACATTTTTGCACAGCTCAAAGCTACAATTCATGAGCTTGTATGGTCAAATACAGAAATCTGGTGCCACATGCCTGAAATGCTGAAATGTTTTTTGGGTTTTGTTGTTTTGGTATTTAGGTTTTTGGGGTTTTTTTTTTTGGTTAGTGTGTTGGTATTTTTTTTTCTCATATCTGACATAGGGCTGCACAGAAACCTGTAAATATTTTCAATCAACATTTTCAAACTTCTGGTCTGTCAGGTACATTTGTGAAGAGTGTTAACACAGTAGATTTGTTTGTTTGGCATCTCCTGCTATACAATACATATACACACGTGTGCATACATACGTGTCAAGAAAACAGTAGCAATGTGTACATATTTATTTACTTCAATAAGTCTGTAAATTTTATAATGAGTGAGACTGTACTGAAATCAGTGTCATATTAAAGTTTATCTTCTTGCCATGTTAAGCTAGTATGTGCACCATTTATGCCAGATAAATAATTGCTCCTTTAATCCAAAAACCTGTTACCCTGCAGCTGCTCCTACACTAACCAGAATTTACTGGAACACTTCTCATTACTATATGGTAGAAGGTTGTTTGCAGCCTAAAATATTTAAAAATATTACACCTATGCAAAGTGATCTTAATCAAAGCAATTCCAGGTAAGCCGGATATAGGTTAAAAGTAAAAAATACCAACAAGTCTAAATCATACTTTCCAGAAACATGGAGAGCAAGTTGCAAATTACAAGAAGGTAAAATCTGTTGCATCTAATTATTTCACTACATTAATTATTCATTGACACAGCAACAGAGAGCGGTGTGGTGCTTTCTAGATGAAGCTATGTCTTTGTCACAAACTGTGTACAGTTTTGAAGGCACGGGTCTCTTACCATAAACACCACCTTGAAGAGGAGATGGATGAAGTCCTGGCCTTTACACCAGGTGCTAAATAGAAAAAGGCATGGCAGTAAACTGGAGGAAAGAGCAAGGAAAGGATAAGTGCAGCCACACCAGGAGATGAAGGGTTAGGTTTCTTGCCAAACACACATGCTTTAGTGTATTCCTTCCCCCATATTCTGATTATGCATTAGAGTGGACAAAAGATTTTGTGAAGAAGTGCAGCACAATGGGGAGAGGACAAAGTATGCTTTAAGTTGCACTAAACAGCAGTGACAACAATCAGCTTTTCTCTCCCGTCAACCCAATGCTGCTGTAGATGCTGCTGGAAAAGTCAATCGTTGTTCAACTGTTGAGCTGGTCCTGTCATAACAGGATATTTGAGCGATGGGATGATAACAAACACCAGCTGAAGAAGCAGAAGAAAATGTCCTCAAAAATAGAATGGAAATAATGCCTTTCAGGAGTCTAGCAGTTCAGCCTGGAGATCCCTATTCCTCTTAGCAGCTTTTATATCCTTTAGAAAGCTTTACAGACTGGTGTCTGGTGCCAGGATACGTAAGACCCCATCAGCTCATCGGATGGCGAGCCCCACATATAGCCACAGCAAAGTAATGTGCCAACCAGCATACATAAAGAAGGGAAAACTGTGGCCATTGCTCTCTGTCCAGTTACCTACACCATTGGTCCTACTGCAAGGCTAGGAAAAAGAAAATGAGAGCAGGCAGAAGGTGGGATAACTGGTAGGATCATCCAGCAGATTGCCTCAGCAATTTCGTGCTCCGAGTACCACGCGAAATAGGCCTGTGAATGTTAAAAAGACCCTTTTTAGGACAAGTGTTTATTCCCACAGGGAAGGGATTACGTGGTCTGGTCTGACATCATCTGTTGCCATAAGATACTGTGTTAGAGACGACTGTAAACAGTGATAGTTGAGCTCTTACAGCCACAGAGGTCTAAAGACACAAGCGAGACAAGATTTAGACGAAGGAGGAATATCTTTTGTATTGCAACTGATAGATTAGGGAAAAAAAAAAAGAAAGGAAGCTTTCAGGCACACAAACCCTTCTTCAGGGCTCCTCTTTTGTCCAGCTATTCAATTACTTCTTTCTTCATGACAGAGCTTTACCATCTGATCCATCATGCTCATGTTGATTTCAACCAATATGATTGCTCGAGAGGGAAAAGATGGGTGAGGAACAGCTATGCTTTGTGCAGCAGACCACATTTGGGTGAAAGACACAGGGCCCAATACTGACGTATGCTGAATTGCTTCAGCTACTGAATCATCTCAGGAGATTATATATAACCTGATCAGTTGAAGATGTCCCCGCTCATTGCAGGGGGGTTGGACTAGACAGCCTTTAAAGGTCCCTTCCAACCCAAACTATTCTATGATTCTATTCTATTCTGTGATTATTGTCAAGTGATCTGAGGGAGAGGAATAACGAAGGACTATGTTCGGTTTTGCTAGCTTGCTTTTGGGGCCCAAGCCTTTTCCTTCTACTGGCTGGTTCATGCTCAGCACAACATACTCCTTCGTATGAACGGCACTTTTGCTTTGTTTCCCAAGCTTAGGATGAACGAAAGTTAGGCTATATGATACTGAAAAAAGTAGTCACAGCAAACGTGAGGGAGAGTATTTTCCCTTCCTTATTCCTGTCTCCCCATCAAATAGCGCAGTCAGTACCAAATGTCAACACAAGCTGATGATGGGGTGTGTAGATGACAGCAGCGAGAACAGAGCCACACTCTAACCCAACAGTCTTGTCAACACAATGAAAATCCCAATAACGCATGATGCAAAAAGAACTTGGTCTGTTTTGATTGTAGGTTTCCCTTTGTATAGATGAAGAAGACAATAGGGTGGCTGGAGTGTGATGATTTATTCTGATTTAGTTATGGGCTT